CTGTTTAGAACATTCCTCGAGGTGGGCAAGTGTGAAGACCAAAAACCACCATGACTAAGGCCCTCCGGCTGGGTGGTCGCTTGTTTAGAACATTCCTTAGGGTGGGCAGGTTGGTCGAAGACCTCCTATTTAGAACATTCCTCGGGGTGGGCAAGTGTGAAGACCAAAACCCACCATGACTAAGGCCCTCGGGCTGGGTGGTCGCTTGTTTAGAACACTCCTTGGTGTGGGCAGGTTGGTCAAAGACCTCCTGTTTAGAACATTCCTCGGGGTGGGCAAGTGTGAAGACCAAAACCCACCATGACTAAGCCCTCGGGCTGGGTGGTCGCTTGTTTAGAACATTCCTTGGGGTGGGCAGGTTGGTCGAAGACCTCCTGTTTAGAACATTCCTCGGGGTGGGCAAGTATAAAGACCAAAACCCACCATGACTAAGGCCCTCGGGCTGGGTGGTCGCTTGTTTAGAACATTCCTTGGGGTGGGCAGGTTGGTCGAAGACCTCCTGTTTAGAACATTCCTCGGGGTGGGCAAGTGTGAAGACCAAATCCCACCATGACTAAGGCCCTCGGGCTGGGTGGTTGCTTGTTTAGAACATTCCTTGGGGTGGGCAGGTTGGTCGAAGACCTCCTGTTTTGAACATTCCTCGGGCTGGACAAGTGTGAAGACCAAAACCCACCATGACTATGGCCCTCGGGCTGGGTGGTCGCTTGTTTAGAACATTCCTCGGGGTGGGCAGGTTGGTCGAAGACCTCCTATATTGAACATTCCTCGGGGTGGGCAAGTGTGAAGACACAAAACCTACAATGAAGATCGTATACCTAGGTGAGGAAACAGAAAGCAAAGAGCACCAGGATTTGCACAATTACAAGATCAGAGGGCGGGCGCCATAGTTCGAGCGTAAGAGAAAAGTCCAATGGAGCAGAAAATCCATCATGTTTATGGTCACGAGGCTGGATGGTCGCATGTTCGACCACCTCCAGGGGTGGGCATGTGCTAAAAAATTTAAAATCCATCATGTTTAAGGCCACGGCTGGATGGTCGCATGTTCGACCACCTCCAGGGGTGTGCATGTGTTCAAAAACAGAAAATCCATCATGTTTAAGGCCACGAGGCTGGATGGTCGCATGTTCGACCATCTCCAGGGGTGGGCATGTGCTCAAAAATTTAAAATCCATCATGTTTAAGGCCACGAGGCTGGATGGTCGCAGGTTCGACCTCCTCCAGGGGTGGGCATGTGCTCAAAAACAGAAAATCCATCATGTTTAAGGCCACGAGGCTGGATGGTCGCATGTTCAACCACCTCCAGGGGTGGGAATGTATGTATGTGTATGGTGCGACTAAATTATTCAAGTGATCGTGAAGCAAACACACAAACATCACTTAAGCAACAACGAATGGACCGACTAATGAAAGTGTGTTATTCATATATCAAAGTTCGCATCAATCATACTCCGAAGTCCGCTTTGGTTTTACCATCGAGAAGTTATGACAAAGGTAACAAGTCGAAGTATTAAAAGCATTATTGAAGATCAAGACAAGTCAAAAACAAAATACCACCATTTCACGAATATTGCATAGTTCATTGGAATACATAATTCAGATTCACAACAGACAAAATGGAAAATACAAAGCTACATCTAAGGAGGAGGAGCTGCGGTCGAATCGGCGTTGCTCTGATTAGCATAGGGATCGGGTGGATGGCTAGTTCCGGAGGTCGAGCCACAAGCTTCATTAAGTGGACGTTGACGTATAGACTCGGTCAGCACGGCCAGCATTGAGGCAGGTGGAGTGAGGCCATCGGGCAGAGCATAAGTCTTCTTTAAAGTGTCTGATCGAGCCAGAGTCCTTTCGAGCAGTCCTGACCACCACTCGTGCTCGAGAGGTAAGCTAGGATTGCCCTGGAAATTGGAAGGAACCTTGGGCAAGGCCTCCCAGATAACCATGGGGTCGAGCTGCTCGAAATCGTCCTCGGCGATCTGCTCGTCAGCCTTTTGTAGGGCGAACTGAAAGCAGTCCACCCCAAAGTCATGCACCTCCTTCAAAAATTGGGGCGACCGCGTATAATCGGACACCACTT